TTTTTCCTAAAAAAAAAAAGAAGACAGAAAGTAAACAAATTGAGGTAGAAAATTTTAACAACCAAGCCCTGGATATTAACCCCAAATGGAACCATGGCAACATGGTAACTCGCCACTTTAAGAGGAAACCGTCAGTGCTGAAATACGGGCAGCCTCTCTCCTGGGTCACGTAAAACATCTTCCGACAAATCGAGGCAGTGGGGAGAGCAGGACTGTGCACCCCTCGAAGCCAGCACCAGCCTGTCGGGGCTTTGTCAGACCCCAGCTTCACATGGGACGCATTAGAGGGCGTCCCAACAGCAGGGTAGTCGGGGAAAGCTGTCATCTGCACACATCACCCATGTTCAGTATTTTCTCCCAATTGTTAGCAACTAGAACTTCCGGACAACACATCTCCAGTGTGTTCACCTACCATTCATCATTGCAAATGCATTTTGATGCTAAACAAAACACAAATACAAAGCCAATTTATTGCTCTCCCCTCCCCCAGGAAATTCTAAAGGCAAAAATGTTCTCTTGATGATTGTTCACTTTCTTTATTCTTTATTTTTTATTCTTTATACACAGATAAAGAGAAATTAGGTTTCTAAGTGTTTGCTGTGTCAAAAAAAGAGATTGTTTAGAACTTAAAAAAAAGAAAGGAAAGGAACAATAAACAGCTAGCGTCTGAGACCTTCCCAATATTCAAGATTAAAAGATGTTAGAACCCTGTTAGTAATAGTAAGACACTCAGGTTTTGTGAGTTCAAGTCAAATAATTTGACATTGGCGCTTGGGGGATATTAATATTCACAACATGCCAAGAAATGTGATATGTGGTGTCCCTTGACTGCTTTTAAGGGAACAGATTTATATATATATATATTCATTCACATGTAAGCTAGCTGTATATTTAAGGCCACAATAAATTAAACTCAGTGCTTTGATACATGAACCACATTCATCTGAGGTTTCTAGGAATTGAATTTAAATCAAATATTGCATAAAAAGTGGCAGAATTCCATTCCAAACCCTTCTCTCATCAAGCTTTATTTTTACAAAATCGAGGGCGAATATTTACTATGTTTTATAAAGTTCAAAGGATCTTGAGTAGACAGAGCCTTTGGATAAACCGCTTTATTTACCTCACTCAGTTCTACGAGAAAATTCTGAGTCTATCCAAGGGATATATTCGTTGGTCAATTAACTGTTTCAGTCTTAAAATTCCATTTAAAGTACAATTTACAACATTCTAAAGATAGGGCGGCCACGCATGCCAGGTCATGCTGTTTTCTGGGCATCTGTTGGGCCCAGCACTCTCAAAAGTGTATTGGTTTGGAAGATAAACATGCAGGTTACTCTAGAATGTCCACTTAGTGGGACACAGGCAACAAGAGAGAGAGGAGGTCCACCAGAGGCAAAAAGCTCGGGGTTCACAGAGCAGTCCCTGACGAATGCGCAGGGTCCACCCACTGAAACAGGTGTTTACACGAGCACAGGAAGAGGGAAGGCTCGGGGAAGGACGCAGCTCTGCAGACAGCCTGAGATGTAGCTTCACTCTACAAGGCTGAGCATTAGAACGAATTTGCAGTTAACGTTGATCCAAGTAGTGCTGCGAATTTAGGTCATTGCCAAGCCAAGATGCGGCTACCTGCCATACTTCCAGCCACAGAGCCACACACAGAAGAGTCTGTGGCTCAGGCATCCGTGGCTCAGTCAGTTAAGCATCTGACTCTTGATTTCAGCTCAGGTCATGATCTCAGGGCCGTGAGATCGAGCCCCGCATCAAGCTCTGCGCTGGGCATGGAGCCTACTTAAGATTCTCTCTCTCTCTCTCTGCCTCCGCCCGTCCCCCCTCAAAAAAAAAAAAAAAAGATTCCAGGGCCCCCTGGGAAGTGAGGACCTCGAACGGCTCTGACCACACGCACCATGTGCCCGGCCTCCCTACACTGCAGACAAGTTCCAGGCACACGGACACTCAGGGAACTGAGTGGAAATCACGATGTCCTGGTCAGAGGGATCTGGACAGTATTAGACGAGCATTGCTATGGGAGGACACCTGAAATATCTATTTTGAGGCTTTTTCAAGGGTTGACTTAGAAAGATTTTTCTAAATAATATGTAAATAAAATTGACAGGTGACCTTGTAAATCACACTGACCCTCACGTGTATACACACTCCACTCAAGCAGGCTAACTCTCTAGACAGACAGGCGGACACACACACACAAAGGTCTGCAGTTTCACTTACAAGGAAGAGTAATGGACTTAAAAATAAAAGATGGGAGAATTTACTGAGCTGATGTGAGAAAATCAGATTTCTTCCCTGAAATACATTTACCTTGTATGAGGATGACCGGTTGGCAGGAAGTACCCGGTTCCATTGGAACAGGAACCCCAAAGAGCTCACCTAGTAAAAATGGACACAGCACTTCTCTCTCTCGACCCAGACAGCTCCAAATCCATCCCCATGCACGCACACGCACATACGCACACACACTTCCTGGGCTCAAGTGTCCACTACGGTCCTGGCCAAACGTGCACGTGCTCCTCACTAGACGCGGGAGTCCTGATGACTCAGGACAAGTGGGGGCTCTCCGTGGGCAAAGACATTGTGCTAGATTTAAAATTAGGGAAATAACACCTCCAGGATCAGCCCCATAAATATGCTCCTTTCTTGAGTCATTGGGTGAGTCAAGTGCCATCTAAATTCTCCAGCGCAGTTAAAAAATAAGCTGGCCCACCTTCTGTTCTACAAAAGAACTGTAAGTTTCCCCAAATAGAATAAAGTCTCGCTAAGTGAGCCACAGAGCTCCTGTCTGGTTGCAGCTGCGTCTCGAAGTTTGAGAGGAAAGAAGAAAAGCCAAGGATATTCAAAATCCGTTCCATCCTCGAGTCTCATAAGAATTTAGATGTTTAAACCACTCTAAGTTGACGAAAACGGTAGTTCTTCATACACATAAATACAAATACATGTCCAGCTCCCCTGATCGGTACCTGTTAAAAAAAGAAACTATGGAAACAGAGAGAAGTCTCAATGGGATGATGGAGGGAGCAGCGCTGACAGAATATTTCTTAACATCCTTGTTTATAGAAGCACGAAAGCCAGTGTTTCCAGGACATCCGTGCTGTCCTCACTCAGTCCTTTAGAACAAGGTGCAGGAGCTGCGGCCGGTGAGGTCCTGGCTCTGCCAAAGCCACTGGGAAATCAGCGTGGGGGGGCTCAGCCGGGGGCCCCGAGTCACGGGCTGGCCACGCTCAGAGTCTGCGCCCGCGCGTCCAGCACAGCGGGGAGCAGCTCCCAGCGACACACCTCACGGAAACCGCTCCATGGTATCCCCACCCCCGGTTCCGGAGACCAGAAGGGAGTCTGGCAGCCCGACCCCCCCAGCCCAGGGGCCCTGCTCGAGTCCTACAGAGCATGCGGGGGGCCGCTCCCTTCCACCTCAACGGGACAACGGCGGCTGGGACGCAGACGTCTGCGGGACACTCACAAGTCCAAGGGGCGTGTGATATTATTTTGTAATTTTTTATTGAAATTCCATTTGTATTGTAGTTTCAGGGGTATAATGTAGTGATTCATCAGTTGCATACAACACCTGGTGCTCATTCCATCACGGGCCCTCCTTAATGCCCATCCCCCAGTTACCCATCTCCCGTCCCCCTCCCCTCCGCTCCAGTGACCCTCAGCTTGTTCCCTAGAGTCAAAGGTCTCTGATGGGTTGAGATGTGTGATTTTAAACCCCTCCTGGTCTGAGAAAGCTTTCATTCGTCTGCCCTCAGCCTCTGCCTCCCAAACCAGGCCAGTGAAGCTCCCCAGAACTCCCCCCCGTAAAGTGCCCCTGGGGGACTTGTGTCCTTCACGGCTGCCTCAGAAAGAAAGGGAGCGTGCTCAGCAGGAACAGAGCTCCTGGGTCAGACCACGGGGGAGCTAGCATGGGCCAGCAGTCCCAGGAGCCACACTTGGGCCAGTCACCCACCCCACTCGCCCTGCACTCCTACCGCATGGACCTCCCTGTCCATGAGGACAGCAGCCGGGGCTGCCCTGCTCCCTGAGCTTGCCCACAGGAGACGGTGCTGGGCTGCTGGCCGGAGGCTGGGATCCACCCCACAGCCTCAGGATGTGTCCACGAACATTTCTCCTCCTATGAGCAGTCTACCCCTGAAAGGACAAGTGGCCTCCTCATTCCTCGGCCTCACCAGGAAGGATAGCGGCCACTCTAAGCCTTGCAAACACTGTACTTGGGACCATTGGTCCCTGGAGGGCCCCAACTTCGGTACCAGACCAGCCTCTTGCCCCACTCTCTCCGCTGGCTTAGAAACATTCTGGAATAGCCCATCCATGTGCGCTTACACACACTGTCTGCATTCTTAAAGGATGAGCAAGTCCCATTAGCCACAGAGCGGGAGGTGTGCTACGAAACATCATAGATGAGCTGTTAAGTGTCCGCAAAGTCCCAAAAACTACACGTGTGAGAAACAGTGGGAAATGTGTGTTTGCAATAGTAAAACTGAGGCTTCTCCTCTATTCCCCGCTCTCCGTGTTTGCCCCAGGCCACCAGGAGAGTGGGAGCAAAATTTTAGAGCTGCCCTTCTATTCCCCACCTCCTCCCTGAGGGAAATACCTTAGGACTTCTTCATCAAAACACAAAAATGGGGCTAATTCCTTAATTCTTACCTTTTTAGCAGGGATTTTTTTAATCGAGTTTATGTCTGAGCACAGTGACCACATGCTTTTTCATTTTGTATGTTTAAGAAAATTATGAATAAATCTCTCTTTCTATCCCCTGCCCTCCTTGCTAATCATTGTGAAATCTGAGGGGCATTTCCTTTAAAGTTGCTTAGCCTTTAGAAAATGCAGTTATGGACATAGCAGTTGGGGACATCATCTGGGGACCTCACCTCCAAGCAGCCAGTCATGGTGTGGTACAGACCAGCCCGGGCCTGGGATTCCAGCTTCGGTCCCATTTCGTAGCCACCCTCCCCATCCCCCACCCCAGCCTTCCCAGCGGAAAACTTTCTAAGAGAGGACTTAACTCACAAGCAAACATCAGTTTCATTTAGCATTTTGCTTATTTAAAGATTTCACTTACATGTGAAACCTAAAACACAAACAGGGAAACAGGTCTCCGGAGGGGAGGGTCGAAGTAGGTGAAGGGGATTGAGAGGCACAAACTTCCAGTTATAAAGAGTCACAGGATGGACAGTGACAGCAGGTGATGCTGGTGACAGATGGTGACCACACGCACGGCAGGGAGCGTAGCTTCCTGTGTGCAACTCTTGAATCCCTGTGTTGTGCCCCTGAAATAAATATAACACTGCATGTCAGCGATACATCAACATAAATAAGTGAATAAATTCATGAATACATAATAACTGACTTTACCCACCAAACAGAACTGTTCGTGTCAGATGAAATCTAACCAAAGACGGTTTCCCTTAAAATTCTCAGCTAGACTGCTGCCATTTCAGTGGGACATTCGGACCGGGTACCTCCTAAAACACAGGGCGGTTCCTCCATCACGTCACAGGTTACCGTGATGTTGGGAGTGGGTGACATTTGAGACCTCACTAAGTTCTGAATTCAGACCGCCACCGCGCGTCTAATTATGCCCAGGGGACTGCTCGCCTGCCTCCCGAGCTGAGTGATGCTCCTGTGATGTGGGTTATTGAAGACGCAACGTATTTGTCACTCACATCAGACACCACAGCTGGCTTCTCCGGGTCTCTGCGCCCAAGGGAGAGAGCGAAAACAAAATCGGAGCTCTGACCCGTGCTCCAAGGACACTCTGTGAGTGTCCTGATGGGGTCACAGCCCGCCCTGCTCTGAAAGGAGCATTGCAGCAAGAATGCACGACCTCCGCCGTCCCGAGGAGAGGCTGATTTCATGACTGAGACACTGTGCTCACATCTGCTGCATGCTGCCCAAGGATCTGCACTCCAATACAGTAACCATGGGGAGCAGAGCCCCTCAAGCCGAGCCAGAGAACCGAAGCTGTCCCGGCCGGTGCCCGCCCCGTCCCCAGGCTCTATGCCCAAGGCTGTCCTGCAACATCTCCGGTGAGCCCGTCTGCATTACCTTTGCATTTACTTGGCTTCATTGCATGCACAGGCGGCCCGCTACTTTCTAGGAATCCATGAATGACTCCGGAATCTGTCTACACCAATGCGGGATACATTTTATTTGTGGCACCGTAAAGTGAAGCACAAGAAATGCTCGAAACCAGTCTGCAGCTGCACCGATGGAAGAAGAAGCCCGGAAGACCTGTCTCCCCCACGGAGCTAACCTCCCTCCCAGCCCCTGCCGCCCTAGACCTGCAGGAGATGCCCTGGGAGAAGGTCATGGAGAAGGTCACGAAAAGCCAGAGGAGGGGCGCCTGGGTGGCTCAGATGGTTAAGCGTCTGCCTTCGGCTCAGGTCATGATCCCAGGGTCCTGGGATCGAGTCCCGCATCGGGCTCCCTGCTAGGCGGGGAGCCTGCTTCTCTCCCTCTGCCTCTGCCTCTCTCTCTCTCTCTGACTTTCATGAATAAATAAATAAATAAAAAATTAAGAAAAGCCAGAGGAAGGGGAACCGTAGGGCGAGCTTCCTGGGAGCATGCTAGTGGCCCGCGAGGCTGACGACTCGGCGGGGACACGGAGCATTGCTGGATTTTCCCCAGATCTCTCGCCTCATCTCGAGCACACCTCCTTCCTTCACTGCTACTCCTCCAGAGGCATCGGATCCCCTCGCAGCCCCGAATCTGCCCGCCCGGGGACTACCCTGAATTCCACAGAAGCAGGCGCTTTGACTTCTCCGTTTGTTGAAAGGAAAAGTCCGACAGTGACCCTCACTCGGGCGTCAATGATGGATAAGCATTTGTGATTTCACAAGACCTACCCGAGGCGAGGGACAATCACTGGTCATCTATTGTGGACTAGGAACAGTCTTACGATTCCAGGACTGAGTCTTCGAATGTCAGGCGTCCGTCCTGTGGAGAGGGAGGTCGGGGCCAGCTGGAAATCGTTTGGGAACGAGCCCACCTTCCTCGCTTGTGGCTGGTGGCCTGGTGGCTGCCCGGTCACAGGCGAGCTGAGGTCAGCGTCAGAATGGGTCAGCCGTCAGGGGCTGGGCTTCCTTTTGACCAAGGACACACAGACAGAGAACTTGATATTTTAAATGATTATATAGATTCTAGACATCACTTGGCCAACTTCCTCCAACCACAATGTACACATATACACAAAGACCAGCCGGAAGGTATTTGCCAATAAGAAGAGCCATATAGAAGGAAGAACAATGAATCCTATTCTACACATTTGATTAAAATCTTGGCTTCGAGAAACTCACACTTGGAGAAAGATACCACTCACTTAGTAATTAAGGAACCTCCACTTGTGCCCCCCCATCACCCCATACTGACCTATCATACCAAACATACAGCACATACCCCCCAGAAAAACACTTGAGTAGAAACATCATCTCTAGATTTCTTTCAAAGTATGTGTATCTACCCAGGAATATTTTTGAGCAATATCATATATCATGATCTCCACAAAATTTTAAAAAAGGAAGAACACAGCTTCTCCTCCCTAACCAAGGGAGCCCTGCCCACCCCGCCAAACAAGGAAATCTTCAAACAAGGCAAGAACTCGCGGTCTAACAGAGCGAGCTCGAACGCCGAGAAGCTCTTGCAGCACGTAGGTTGAAAGTATGAGAGGCAGCCAGTCACAGCTCCACACCGGTCCTGGAGGCTCTGCTTAGGAGACAACAAGCTGGACCCTGCCCGATTCGCAGAACTGTCAACTTGACCCAAGTGGCCACGCTCTCAAGCAGCTTCTGACTGATAGAGGCGCTCGTGCTGGCCACACGTGACAAATACGTTTTAATGATCCACGACTCAACTCACACATTCCCCAAGGCAGTCATAAATATCATAAACAATCTCATTTGTATCACTGTGATTTCCAAGACATCAAACGAACAAAACATGACTTTTCAAGCCTCACTGTGATGACCAGATCTTCCAGAGCCTACGCTCCGACTCAGTTCAGCTGCAAGGACGCCTGCTTCATCTTGGCACCGGAAGCACTTTGCTCCAGTGTCTACCAGGACGAGAACTGTGTGAGAGCTCCATGTGCCTGATTGATGGGGCATCTTCTGCAGGGCCCAGCACAACACCCTCTGCATGGCAGGCTGACGGGAAATATCTCTTCAAGGCGCTGTTGTGACGGGGCCGACTTCAGATTAAAACCCTGGCTTAGCGGGGAGACCACCGTCTCACCAAAATGGGGTGGAGTGAGCTCGCTCCGCATAGCAGGGCCGCTCACCTCGGCTCAAGGATGGATAAATCGGTGATCTGATCTCCAAGTGGGAACCTCAACAGGGGACTGACCACAGAGGAGCGGCCACCATGGAGGCAAGTGCTCCTTGCAGCTGCACTGGACGGCTAGACCCTGGGTCACGGCAATTGGCCACGGAAGGGATGTGTTCAACTTATGAACCATGATACTTGCCCCTTCTGCAGATCCAGGCCATTTTTCTCTTGCAATGATGGACTTGAATTTAGAGTCAGGAGTGGTTAAGATCCCAGCAGCATTTTATTCTCTGAAACTTATAAAATAGTGAGTAGCCATGGAGTTAGAGTAGTTTCTCTGAGCAAGGGAATCGGCTGGTTGATAGCAAAGATTTGAGCAGGAAGTAGGAGACCTGCTTTAGTGTCGATATTAGAGGACATCCCCAAGCCCTTGTGCTTGCAGCAGACTTGGGGTGTCATGGGGCTGCTGACCCTTGCCCATAATTGTGTCAGTTCGATTCTCCAGAAAAACAACCAGTAGGAGATAGAAAGATAGATGATAGATAGATTAGATAGATAGATAGATGATAGGTAGATAGATATTAGATAGATAGATGACAGATATAAATAGAGAGATGATAGGTGATAGATAGATGATAGATAGATAGATAGATAGATAGATAATAGATTTATTTATAGATTTTAAGGAATTTTCTGACCTGGTTGTAGGGGCTGGCAAATCTGAAATTCAAAGGACAGGCCAGCAGGCTGGAAACTCAGGCAGGGATTAATGCTGTAGTCTTATGGCAGAATTTCTTCTTCTGGGTGCTTGCTTTGGCAGCCCATACTAAAATTGGAATGATACACCCCAAACCGAGGATGACATGCAAATTCATGAAGCGTTCCACATTTAAAAAAAAAAAGAATTTCTTCTTCTGGGGAAACCTCATTTTTTGCTCTTAAGGCCTTCAACTGATTGGATGAGGCCCATCCACATTGTTGCAGGGTGTCCCTGGTCTGAAGCCCAGGAGAGGTGAGGTGGGACACATCCTCTCACAATTACCCACGGCTTGAAAAACATTATTTACCTTTTACAACAAGGAAAAATGCTTCAACCTACATTAAATTGCAAATTTTTCCTAACGTTAAAAAATACTAACAAAAGCCATGAGCACTTTGTCCTAACTCAGGGACACCGACAGCACGGGCAAGGTTATCTGTCCACCTAGCACCTGTTCTGCCTAAACCACCTGGCGCATTAGTTTCTGGCTCTCCTTTTGTCCTTCTAAGTTTTGGTCGTGGGGCATGGGGATGACCTTCTCAGTAACAAGTTTTAAAACAACTGCAAAAAGGCTCTCTTTATTTCTCTTTTCCTGCCAGCCTCTCAGGGATCTGCTTCTCCAGTAGGCTTGGCTATTTCTCATTCCCTCATCCTTCCATTGTCTCCCAGCACTATCTTTACCCTCCTGTGTGCAGAATCCTTGGAAGAGTCTACAGAAGCTTCTCCTGGATTTCTAGGAGCCAGCCCCGTGCTAGCCCAAAGCGATGGTTCAGGACCACGAACAGTTACTCGCATGACGGGGGCAGCCCCTCCCCACACAGCTTCCTGCTCCAGCACCTGCGCCCGCGAAAGCCGTGTTTCTGAGGTGCGGTCCCATGGAACAAAAAATGCTTGGAGATTAGAGAAGTTTGGGAAACGCTGCATATTCCACCGACCAACTTTCTATGTAGAAGTTGTGGGAGGTCTGGCTGGGAAGAACCTGTAATCCTTCATGCAGCTTTTTCTAAAGTTATTTGACTTTTTGTCAAAAACTGATCAAAGAGGCAGCCAAGGAATGGGGCATGGCCTTAATAAATAAGCACTATGTGCCAGGGAGGGCCAAGTCACTGACAGCCGTTATGTATTCGAGCAAATGAGCTCATCAGCAACTGTCCTCAGAGCTGCTGATCAATCTCAGTGATCTGGGGAGGTCTTCACTCGAGAAGTCAGGAAAAGGCAGACAATCTCAGTGTTTTTATGTCATGAGCCTCACAGGGACAGTGCTTCGAGGAAGAGGCAATAACCCTCTGATATGGAGAGACACCACAGAGCTGAAAGCAATCGCCAGTACTCCTGGACGCTGTATTCCACACCTGGCCCCGTGTCGAGGGCTTCACATTTATGGATCCATTTATTATGCACAATAATCCCACATGGTAGGAAAGACCATCTCCATTTTATAGAGAAGGGAACTGAAGCAGAAGGAGGTTGAGTGCCCCATCCTTAACTGCGCGGCAAGTAAGCACTGACGTCGGGATTGGAAGCCAGGCAGTGTGATCCCAGCGTCGGTACCTCCACCACGGGACGCAGGCTCGCTCTATCCTGTGGATTATCTCCACCCAGAGCAGTCTCAGTGCCAAGGAGTCAGCATCATGGAAGAGACAGTAGTACAGACCAAATGGAACCACATTTCCCTCCCTCTCCTTCTGCTAAGGCTATAAGCCTGTAAAGATGAATTTTCACTGTCATCCAGCCAACTGTAGTCCAGGGGATGTCTCAGAGAGGGTAGAAAAATTGGAGGTTCTCAAATCCGAAGCCATGAGTGTCGTGCACTGGAGGCTCCAGAGTCGGGAAGCATGACAGGAGTGCTTGGGAGTCGGACTTCGCAGGGAGCAAGAACCTTGTGCAGAGGGGTGTACTATGAAGGCACCTACCACAGAGGTCCTCGGGTTCCCCAAAGAAGTGGCTCCAGTGGGAGCAGCATTGGCTATGGGAGGTTGCAGCAGGGGTGCTCCCACTCGAGCAGGCATCCGAGTCCCCGGGATCCTTGCCAAAACACAGGTAATGGGCCCTGGCTCCTGAGTTTCTGACTCGGGAGGTCCGGGGAAGGATGAGAATGTGCACTTCTCACATGTGCCCAGGATGCTTGGGCTGCTGGTCCAGGGACCCCACTCTTGGTGCCCCGGTGGGTACCACTCAGATCAGGTCATCACTCACATCCTTCACATTTGCCATGCTCACCCCCTCCGGCCTGGCACTTGCCCCTATGCCCCGTGCTTTGCTCTCACCTCTCCTTCCTGGGCTCATTGTGTATGTTGTCTCCTGGAAAGCCTTTCCTGATACCACAAGTCTGGGGGAAGGACCCCTCTTCCATGCTGCCTGAAAATACATGGCTTCTGCTCCCAGGGCACCAGTCACATGGGTGGGTCAGCTACTTGCTTGGCCATCAGACCACACCTAGCCAGTCCCTGCAGGGTCCTCTGATTTTGGCAGTGTCTGCCAAGTGTGATGGATTCAACAGATACTGGTTGGATCAATGAGCAGACTCATCTAGCTTGAGGCCATCCCTTAGAAGAGGATATTTGAGGGTCCCCACTAGACTTGGCTCTGCAGCTTTTCCACACTTGCCCCAGTATCCCTCCCTGTGCTGCCCTTCAAACCTTATGAACCTCACAATTCAGCCAAATGCCCAGCAGTGTAGGTAGGGTGACCACCGTCTGAACCGGAACACCTCTGGGTATGAAAAGGACACTCAACACTAATTTAGGGGTAGAAGATGCACATTTGGGCTGTCCTAGGAAGAGCAGCACATAGGTGCAGCCCAAGTGTGAATCCTCCGTGAGGCTGCTCTCTCGTACTTCTAAGCCAGTCTACCAAGGGCCCATTTGAGGCAGGTGTCCATCCTCGGCCCAGTCAGCTGTGGCCAAGTTGACAGAGCCACGTAGTATAAAACCTAGCAGTCTATGATTAGGTGAGCACATGGTCAGAAGTCTGGGGACACTCAGCTAGAGATAGTATAACTGGCAGGCATTTGGCCAGGCTGTCCCCTAATAAACACATAGGCTTGCTAACAAAAAGACTACGGAGACCACACACATCCCATCCAACAGAAGTCCTTGGAATGTTGGTGTCTGAGTCTGTTTGGCCTGCTATCACAAAATATCACAGACTGGGTGCCTTATAGGCAAGAGAAAGTTATATACCACAGTTCTGGAGTCTGGACGTCTGAAGTCACCTGTTTCTCTCTGCTGCAGGGAAAGGCCTCTGTTCCCAGATCCTAGCACTTCGATTGGGACCATTCAAATACACCACAAAAAGCAGCCCAGGGACCAAATCATCTTTTATTACCTTGTTTGTCTGGAGAAATCTGTTCCAAATTCCAAACAACAGACTTGAACGTGAACTATGGGACATAACCCATTTGCAAGTTGGAGCTGTCTGGAAAAGAGAGTACTGATCTGACCCCAGTGAAGAAAACAATCTGGTCTAGTTCTTTCTGACAGTGATGGGAATTGTTAATGTTTTAAATAAGACAGGAACAAGAATGACTACATTTAAGACTTTAGAGGGGGAAAAGATGTTTCTTTTTGAGAAACAACAACCATATGTGCAATAATAAATGGTACTTACTGATCGTTCAACAGGAAACAAATAAGGACGGAGAAAGGCAGTGCAGAGTTCCCAAGGAAGACTAATTATGAAGATTTTAAGCGAATGAACTCCAGATCAAAGCCCGGAGTCCTCTGATAAGATCATGTACTCGTTAACGGAACACAGTGTCATCAACTTATTTTTAGCTCAGGAACTGGAATACTCTCAGCGTCACATGATCGGAGTGTGACCCAGGTGGCCCAAAGCAGGGCAGGTTTTGTTCTTCTCTCCTTGGGAGCAAAGTGTTAGGTCTGTTTGAAAAAAGAATAAGAAATCCTCTTATTTAGCAATGATTTCTTTTTTTTTCTACCTCTGAGACCACATTTTTTTTTATTGTATATAAATAGTTGTGTGTGATTAAGCAGGTCCTTCTATGCTTAAAAACATACAGTTCCTTCACATATGTATTCAAATATGAACTAAGAACACAAATGTCACCACACTGTGTGTTTAAAAAGCCACTTACTAATTTACTATTGTGTTGTAACAAATTACCATCGACTTGGTAATTTGTTAAACAATACAAACGTATTTCGTTACTATTCTGGAGATCAGACATTCAAAATGAGTCTCCCTGGGCTCAAGTCAAGGCGTGAGCAGGACTGCGGTCCTTCTGGAGGCTCTGGGGGGGCATCTGCTTGCTTGCCTTTTCCGGTGTCTCAAGGCCACCCCCTTCCTTGGCTCACAGCCCCAAACCCATCTTCAGAGCAGCTGCGTGTTGGCAAGCCAGGCCCCTCTCACCCTGCCATCTCCCTGGTTCTCTGCCAATGGAGAAGTTTCTCAGATCTTAAGGAATCCTGCAACTACCTTGGGCCCACTGGATAATCCAGAATGACCTTCCCACCTCAAGGTCCTTAACCTTAATCATACCCGCAAAGTCCCTTTGCCATGCAAGGTAGTACGCTCACAGGGTCCAAGGATTAGGGTGTGGATATCTGGAGGGGCCATTATTCTGCCTACCACAGCCACTACAAAATTTCTACTAAGCCCCCACCAAGTCTAAAATTCACATGGGTTTTCTTTCATATTAAGGGGTTTTCTTTCATATTAAGGCAATAGTCAAGTTGCCTATTATCTATACTTTGGGAGGAAAAAGCATACATCTAATCCCACGATTGCTCTACATTTAACAGGACAGATTAGGAGTCGTGTTTATCCAGAGAACCTTAGAGTTGATAGGAGCCAAGGAGGAGTGCAATGGCCGCCATGTTACGGAGTGTGAAAGATTGGGCTGGTGTGTGCTCTTCCTCCCCAGTACTCACACTGGCTGGGCTTCTCAGCCTTCCCCAAGCACATTCCCTCTTCTTGAATCTTAGCCTCCTACTTACGTGGCACAAGCCTTTCTTCGATCCCTTTCATACTACACTTTTTTCCTTTCTCTTTTGGCTCTCGTGCCAATGCCTGACCCCATGGTTTCTGGAAGATGGCGCGTAGTCCCCCTCCGTCTTGGGCATTTCTTTCCCCAGGGGATTACATCCACCACGACTGAGCTACTGTTGACATGAGCAGTGACAGCATAGCTGTCCTGGTCCTTAATTCGTGTTCTCCCTGGATCTCCACACTGAATCTGCATGGGTCCTTCAGCCACATACGTGCCCTGATAGCCTTCAGGCTCTCACTTTTCATGTCCACATGGGACTTTCTCTCTACTCCTAATCAAAAATTCATTTTAACTTTTGTATTCTCAAGCCTGGCTAAAAATATCATCACCATACACCCAAGATACCAAATATGAGAGCTTTGCTGTCAACCCAGATTCTTCTCTCTCCTAAAACAAACACTTTTAATAAGTTTTCAAGATCTGCTTATTCTACCTGAGAGATGTCTTTCAAATCCCATCTTCCATTTCCTTGAAAAGACATAAGACATAAAAAATGGACACATAGAGAAGCAAAGCACTCATTGCTTCCCAGATAACAGTCGAGGACACCTGTCCAAAGTTTCCTGGGTGGAAGTCCCTGATGGTATTATCATGCAATGACTTGCCATATTTACAAAGTTCCACGAAATAAAAGTTCCCAAGACAAATCAATGGGAACATGCCATCAGGACGCCATTTCTGCTGCTCTGGTGTTTTTATGTTGACAGGAATAATTACTAGAGCACAGAGTGTTTTTAAGTGGGAATCTTGGGAAAATCCGTTGTAAATGCGATATAGGCATGACTGTCGTGTCCCAGGTGGTGTTGCCAATTAATTTCTGCCATCAAAACAGCTGATGACTTGGGGTCGGGGTGCGGGATGTTGTGAAAAGATCCTGTTGATATTTTGAAGCTTCAGCAGTCGTATCTCTGCTTTTGCAAACCACCGTGAATCTTCATAACACCCTACAATTAAACGTCATTAGGCACTTAGCATTTTGATCTCTAAGTCATGTTCTGCTGCGGGCACTACCTGGACGTGACACTGTGCATGTCGAGCCTTGGCTCTTCCTCCTCACATTGTGCTGCAACCCTGTCAGAGTTTCCATTTGTGTCCCTGGCTCCACCCTTGGTCCCGGGACCCATTGCATGGGTATCAACTTGGTCCCGGGACCCATTGCATGGGTGTGTTCAGCAAACAGGTGTTTATAACCTGATGTAAATCGGCCACAGCTGTCTCTTCCACACTGACAAACCCAAGAATGTCTCACTAATTAAGACCGATTCTGACATTCTCTGTGCACATCACCCACAAATTGACAGTCTTTCATCAGCGCTATTAGTTATCTTACTGCCCTCATTTCAGTGGAGGGGCTAATCTGATAAAATGCCGATTTTATTCTTTCCTTCACTGTTTTATGTCGCTCAAGTGTATCTGGGTAAGTTTTTACGTACACATGTGAGGATGGAAAACTCCCCCAGCGTTGGCATGTTTTTACAGAAATTACTTTGAAGTCTCTTACAATGTAATTCCCAAGAATTTTAGAACTTATGACTATTCGATGATGTAATAGATTAGTCCTGCCTTCCTAATGACATTTTTCCAATAAGAAAAAAAATTTCCAACTATACATTTTATTTTTTCTATTTTCTTTTACCTCTTTTAAGATTTATCAGCAACTCCGTTCCACAAAACATTGCAAAGTTAAAGTGGTTTTGAGTGCATTTTATTTCATTTTTTTAATCAGGGCTTTGTGCAATTAGAAATGCTGGGGGGGGGTTGTTTTTGTTTTTGTTTTAGATTCCTTTCCTTTTTCTCCATTCCTTGGTCTTCTCTTCCCAAGGAGAGGAGGGGGCAAGTGGTTTTAGGTGCAAGTTGTGGCCATTAATGTCAGGGGTTCCTTTGGTTCTAAGATTTTCAAGGTTGCCATGACCACACCAGAGATTTCTTTTTTCTTTCTTTTTTTTTTTTCTTTTTGGTAGTGTGACATTTTGCCTTTACCACCTTTGTAAAGTAGTGGGTTAATTTCCAGGTCCAGGGCCAACACCCATCCTGGCACCCCTGCCAGTGGTAGGTGGGGCCACCCAAGCCAACTTGGGCTTGTCTGCCACCCTGGAAATGCCTGGTTTTTTAAATTATACTTCTCCACTAAAGAGCATTCAAATATTAATTCATTTTTATTTAATTATGAAAATAATGCATTCATGTGGTTTTTTAAAAGTACACATTTTTGTCTTCTATTTCTCCAGTGCTCTCTATTATAATTTTTTAAACTACACATTTAACTACATTGCTTTAGGCAATGTCAACTGAATCACACTTTTGATGTCAAATTAGGTTTATATTACTGTATAACAATTACATTCTACTCTGTAACCCTCAATAAATCATCCACACTTTATCTAAAGGGCTGTCTTAAAACTAAAATACAGCATTTATAATATTAGGATTATAGAAATATTGCCACTGCAGAAATGAATGGTGCAGTCAAACTCTTGAGCCAGAAATGTCATCATTCATCACATCATACATCATGTGAATGCATCATATATCACATGTATACATCATACCAATATCCTACATCAATCATGCATCACACCATACATCATAAATACATCACATCACATTGTACATCATACATGCACCAGGCATCACACCATACATACATCATGCATTACATGCATACGTCATAAACCACATCATACATACACCATATATCACATCATACATCATACATATATCATCATCACATCATACATCATGCAAAAATCATGCATTGCTTCATACATCACAATACATCATACACCACATCATGCATGCACCTTGCATCACATGATACATGCATCATACATCACATGCATACATCATACATCACATCATACATCATACATGTAGCATCCAACACATCATGCATATATCATGCATTACACCATACCTACACCACACATCACACTATTCATCATTCATATATCATACAGACATCATACATCACATGCATACACCATGCATACATCACATAACATACATACACCACACATCACACCATACATCATTCATATGTCATACGTCACGTGTGTGCATCATACACACCATGCATCACACCATGTGTGCCTCATACATCACATGTTTACATCATGCATCACATCATACATACGTCATACACATATCATGCATCATATCGTACATCATGAATCACATCATACATCACGTAACATTGCCAGGGAATGACCCACCCATCAAACATTTGGGGGACTAACATTAAATTAATTTATGTTCTTAGTTGTTTGGCTGTTTTTTTGCTTTTGTTTCTGAGACCGTCTTTCACCTCCTCCTGAGCCAAGTTAAGCCATCACTATTCCTATATTCCAGGTCATGTTCTTTCCTGCACTGTTTTATGTTGCTCAAGTGTATACACAGATGCACTGCGTAACTTTTTACATACACGTGTGAGGATGGAAAACTCCCCCAGCGTTGGCATGTGTAAAAGAGTGTTCTTATTTTTATTCTGGGTATTAGCTCAGCCTGGAATTCTCAGCTCAAAATCATTTGGCGCAGAGCTGGATAGACAAGCTCCTGCTTCGTGGCCTCTTGGCTTACTGATGTCTCTGCCAAGAATGTTCGTCCTCCAGAAGCCGCGTGCCTACTTCCTTCCAAAGATCCTTTGGGATCTTTACTTGAAAGTAGCTTCTGAGGGAGGCTCTGCCCAGTCACTTACCTGCACTGCCATCTCTCTCCCCAGGCAACACCTCTTAAGCCTTGAACGCTATCTAATAGTCGATGTATTTTACTTGTCCATCTGTGCATTGTCGGTCTGAGCTGTCTGTCCAGACACCT